TTATTTATTTACGTGTATGATAATATAATTCAATCAATTAATTCTTTAAGTTCATGCACTTGCACTTTCTATATTTTGGGAGTTATTCAATTACTCTAAAAATACTATAATTCAATTATTTATGTATTTTTATATATACAAATTAACGTTTTTTTATGGATATATAAAATATAAAATTAAGTCATCAAGTTCATGTATATGTATTTTGGAAGCTATTCAATTATTTTATGAGTAAATAAATTATTCAAGTTCATAAACACACATTTATTTTCAAGATTATTCATTCTATCCTAAATTATCCTAGAGTATACAAATTATTAAAGATTNAAATTTCATGTTTGTGAATCGTTCTCATACAATTCAATTATTTATTTGCGTGCATGTTTAATAATTAATATTCAATTACATATTTATTGAAAAACGAAAAGTAAGGTATTATTGAAATAATTAAATTATAGTATAGTTAAAATCGTCCAAAAAATGATTCACTTGATGCGATATTTAATATGTTGGTTCATGTACACTCCCTTTGTTTAAATGTATATAAATTATTATTTTTCTATATCTATTAATTCAAATTAATTAAATTTTATGTTGGTTCACTTACACACCTTTTATTTAAATGTATATACATTATTCTTTTTCTATATTCATTTATTCGAATTATTTAAATTCTATGTTCATGAATTAATTTGATTGTTCTCGTACAATTCAATTATTTATTTGTGTGCGTGTTTAATAATTAGGGTGTGTTTGTCTCTCATTATTGAGAGAAAAAATAGAGCAATGAATAGTATTTTTGGAGAATGTGTGATTAAAAAGTAAAGTAACTTTATTGATTTGTGCGTAGAATATTTTATTGAGTGAATGTGTGATGGAGAATCTTACTGCAGCAAACAATTTTTTGGAATAATGGTAGACAAATAGGGACTTAATATTCTATAAAATATATATTGAAAAACGAAAAGTATGGTACCATTGAAATAATTAAATTGTAGTTTGGCTAAAATCGTCCAATAAATGATTATCGCTTCATGCGATATTTAATATATTATATAGATATACACATATAAAAGAAGGGGGACTTTGCTGCTTCGGTCCCTAAACTATGATAGTACATGTGGGGTTCTAAGAAAGTTTTTTTTTTTTTTTTTTTCGTTCAAATTCCTAAATTATTGATTTTTGGTGAAAATTGGTCCATACTTGTATATTATTGTAATTTATTTACATAATATGATTTAATACAACCTTTTGCAGGGTTTTAAGAGCTTGTTTGGGAGGGATTAAAATCAGATTAAAATTGAAAATATAGCCGTTGCAGTTGATTTTTATTAGACGAGTGAGACTCAATAACGGTTATATTTTCAATTTTAATTGGATTTTAAGCTTAACCAAACATGCTCTTATTCTGATTCTATACCTTGATGGTGAATTGGCTTTTTCAACTTCTATCTTTCAAGAATTTCTCATTTATCAAGGTCTACACCCCTCTCACATAGGGGGTGGGGTCCACTCGACTAATAATTTTTTATTTGAGTGGACCCCACCCCCCATGTGAGAGGGGTGTACACCCCGATGTAATCCTTAATGTACCACTAGCATGGTCCAGAAAAATAACATAAAAACGCTCAATGTAAGCAATATGGGCTGGTTTGACATGACTTTTAAAAAATAAAAAAGAACCTCTGAGATCCAAAAGTTGATTTTGAACTCATTTTGACTAATTTTATAAAAGGATTTCTGATGGTTATAAGAGTTTTTAGAGGAAGTTGGTTTAATGCGACTTCACTTAAAAACACTTCCAGAATAAGAAATACTTTTAAAAATTAGTTTACAAACAAAAATTAAGTTAGCTTTCTTCAAAATCACTTCAACAAGAAGCAAAAGTAAACATAAAAGCCACGACAAACGTGTCCTATGTCTACCACAAAGGGAAAAGCAAGTTTATGTTTAGGCTCCATTAAAATGAAATTTTGAAGGAAAACATATTTTGAAATAATGATTTTTCGAAAAATGTGTTGTTAAAATAATAAGAAATAATTTTGAATTTACGTGTAAAATTATTTTATGGGAGAATATGTGGTTGAAAATGAGTTTTTGAAAAAAAATAATGCGTTATCGGTGATCAAATTGAAACGAAATTTAAACTCCAGTGATGAATATAGAACAAAATAAAGCTAAGTAGTGATAATAGTCCTATTTGTTTCATCAAGTTTGAGTAGAGACCAATGAAATTGAGACACGAATTCTTGGATCATGATTCATATTTGTGCAATGTCGAGCTAGATAATCTCTTTGGGACAATTTCTGATTTTCCATTCTTCACATACCAATGTGGCATAGAATTAATCTACTTGTACAATGATGATTGACAATGTTTGTTGACAATGTTTGATGTGGTAAAATCTAAACAATTGATTTAAAAACAGTTTTTGAAATTTTTTGAAATGGGTGAATGTGATGATGCCAAATCATGATTGTCAACAAATATTGTCAACTATCGTTGTACATGTAGCATACTTGTGTTGCATATCGGAGGGCATAATTGTATTGTCCTTCATTAATTATGCATATGTTTGGGCCAATTTTTTTTTTCGAACTCATTTTTTCAAAACTCATTATCAATTATAAATTTTTTTTATAAAATAATATTACATGTAAATTCAAATTTTTTTCTTAATTTTAAACACTATATTCTCCAATAAAATATTATTTCAAAATGCATTTTGGTTCAAAATGGAGCTCACACTATATGTTCAATGAATAAAGCTATTTGTACAAAATCAGTTTTTGAAATTTTTTGAAATGGTGAATGTCATGATGTCAAATCATGATTGTCAACTATCGTTGTACATGTACCATGCTTGTGTTGCATATCGGAGGGCATAATTGTATTGGTCTTCATTAATTATGCATATGTTTGGCCCAATTTTTTTTACGAACTCATTTTTTCAAAATTCATTATTAATTATAAATTTTTTTATAAAATAATATTACACGTAAATTCAAATTTTTTTCTTATTTTTAAACACTATATTCTCCAATAAAATATTATTTCAAACTGCATTTTGGTTCAAAATGGAGCTCACACTATATGTTCAATAGTGCGCCTTGTTCGTCAATTACTTGATTTCCACACTCCTTGATCTATTTAAGTGAACATATCTAGGCCCTTGTTTGCCAAAGGTTTTTGAAATTATGAGTTGGTGGAACTCATAAAATATGTGTTACAAGTTGCGGACTTAATAAAATATATGATTAACTATAAATAAATAAATAAAAAAATCCAAACAAGAACTTAAGTTGTTGTTCCAACTTAGGCAAAATTACGTGTAATAAAGTGGCTGAATATCACTATTCCCTCGCACCCTACCAAACAAACTTTGCAACTGTCATAGACTTGCAATTTTCCAAACATTATGTGCACCCATTATAAGCATTTTTTAAAATATCGATATTCGGTTATTTTAGTAGCTATTTTTAAAATAGTTCAACTCATGTTTAATAGATTATCAATCAATTCTGATTTAAAAAAATAAAATAAAAAAAGTTACATATATAATTTTTCATATGAATTTTTTTTACTTACAAGTGATATTTTACTTATAAATAATCTTTTTATATATAAGTTAATATTTACGCAAAAGTATTTTTTATCTTATAAGTAATTTTTTACTATAAATCTTTTTTAATTATAAAGTATTTTTTGCTTATAAATATTTTTTTTAGTCAATGTATATTTACAAGTTTATGCTGGTTGAATGTTTTGAAAAAAATATGCTTGTTGAAAATAATTATTTTATAGATGGTAAAATTAGAAAACAAAATAAGAAACGGTCAAAATCCATCGATTTGGTGGGTTGAGAAAAACAGTCAAAATTAAATTACACCGATTTTTGATGATTTTTAAACCATTCACGGTGCTAAAAAAATATCAAACACCGAATTTTCGGCGTTGCCCAAAATCATTCAAAAACGTAAAAAAAAAAAAAAAAAACTCTCAAAGCATAACGTCTCATAATTGTCCGTACCTCACACAAGCAAAGTTTGTCCTTGGCTCTTCTTTATTAACACGCCGTGCTCAAAATCACAAATGATGTCCCATTTTATGGACATCCACTTGTAAGCTGTAACGTGGTTTTCAAATTTACAACAAATCACAGTAAAAATAATGGCATTAAATTATGAGATGAATCCCACACAATCACACAAATAATAGTAGTAGTTAAGCAAAATACACAAATGTGAGACAATGGAGTAGTAAACAAGCAAAGGGTTTATACATATAAATTAATAAATAAATAGTATGATTCATTGTGATGCTGCAAATTAAAGATGGATGGATCACAAGGATTTCTGCATATGGTTTTGCAATGAAGTGATCTTGATATTAGGTGTATGATCAGTGTCAGTTTGAGCTGTCACGGGCAGCTGATCAAACGGTGTCTGCAGAGGAAAATTAAGCAACTGATGATGACCTGCAGGTAGTTGATTGAGATTATTCCAACCCTTTGAGAGGATTGAGGTTGCACGACCATCCAATCCTATGTGTGTCACGTGCTTTATATCGGTCGGATATCCTATCTCCATTCCCATTTCTCCGTCTTCCATCTCATCCTTCTCGACTGAAATAGAATGTAAATTCCCTCTTAGTTTGGAGTATAAAGTTTAGAGGTCAATATATTGACATTTTAAAGTTCATAGACCATTTTCGAGCATGCCTATAAGAAATCAAGTTTTTATCGAATTTTTAGGGTTTGTTTCACGACTTTTTCGTACTTTTCAACTACAAAAATATATGTGCCAAACAAGCTATTGATACACAGGCATGATAAAAAAAAAAGACACAAGTTGCAGCAAAAATGCACCGAGTAAAGTCTCATGTTTGTATGAACATAGGTTATTAATTACCAAATATATTAGAAAATTTCTTGAAATTCTTGAACAGCTTATGAAGCATCTGAAGGGCCAAGAGATTTAATGGGCTCTTCATATTTTCAACTGATAAATTCTCTGCATCTTCTTCATATTCGTCTTCTTCCTCCTCCTCCTTTATCTCTTCATGAATTCCTGCACAAGAATAAGCCACTAAAAAAGTTTAAGAAATGCACGATGGTGTTAATTTATGTGAGTGAGAGATCGAAATGAAAGGGAAAGAGTACTTGTGAGAGTTTGGTTGACGTCGAACTTTGATCTTCTAGGCTGCTTAACACCAATTGCGATGCTGGATTCGGAGACACGACCCATTGTGAAGGGAAGAAGAACAAATCTTTCCGTTCGATCTCTCCTTTCTTAAAGCGCGTGGCTAGCTATGTAAACATACAAAACAAAGGCACTGTTGAAACAAAATCAATAGGTGGGTGGAATATGGGAATGAGGTTGCCTTTCTTTTTAAGGTAGAATGATACTTTGCAATCATAGTCAATTTCCGTCTGAAAGAATGTTAGGCTATGAGTTTTGTAATTGTAATTTTTTGGAAAATGTGTGATTAAAAAGTAGAAAAATGTGTAAATTTACGTGCAAAATTATTTTATCAGGAGAATATGTGGGAGAAATGAGTTTTTAGATAATAGGGCTCAAGTATGGCTTAGCCCCCGTTTGACAACCATTATTTCAAAACTTTTTAATTCACACACTCATATTCAACCACATATTTATACAATAAAATATTTTGCACGTAAACTTTTTCCTAGTTTTTAACTTTACATTATCCAAAAAATCACTATTCAAAAATAATCACTGCAACAAAATTAAGTCAATATTTGGTTCAACTACAAAATTGGATTAAAATTTAAGTTAAAGTCAACAATTAAATTTAATCACATATTTCATACGAACCCCAACTTTTCAACAGTATATTCCATTAACTTTGTTTTTTAAGCAACTAAAAATCTAATTTTTATCTAAATCAAATAGGGGATAAGTAAAATTTTAAGTTGAAAATGGTGGGCATGCAATGGGGTACTCTTTACACTTGAGAGTTGCCACTCTTAGAGGAGAAGGCAGCAGTACTAAGCCCTACATTGTGACGCTATGTATCTTCCACTAGTGAACTATATTCTATCATCTGTTTATTTCTTTACTTTGTTCAATAAACTTTAGTTAGATTTCACCAAATACGAGTGTATGTCAAGCAACCTTCTGCATAATTACCAGTCGAATTCAGCACCATACAAAGATTCACTTTGTTTGTTTCATCGTTATAAAGAGAATAAAAACAACTTTTAATTAATTGTGACTATCATGCGAAACTAATATCCTATACAAAATACTGGTTAATCGTTTATTTTTCGTGGCATTCTTAGCACTCAATTTTTATTTACTTGCTCTATTAGTTATGAGTAATGCTATGCAGCTCCACCTGGGTTACAATCCCAGGAGCATTATTGTTACTCTAAAATATCTTATTTGCAGTTCCCTTTCCAAAATTGAGTTTTAGAAAATGAGGACCAAACACGAACTTTGTGAAAAAAAAAATATATTTTTTAGAATAATGTGTGATTAAAAAGTAGAAAAAAATTATATGTTATAGTATAAAATTATTATTAATAAAAAATGCGATTGAAAACGAATTTGAGATGAGTTTTAAAGTGTTTGTACGAAACGATGGTTATATTTGTGAGCTACGAATCATCTGAAATGGTCAAGCTCGATTTTTTGAAGAGCTTAGTATTTATATTTAAGGGCTTGAAATTAGTTTAGCCTAAGGGCGTGTTCCGTAGAGATTAAAATCGGATTAAAATTGAAAAATTTGTTGTTATTGTTGACTTTTATTAGACGAGTGAGACCCAATAACGACCATATTTTTAATTTTAATTGAATTTTAATCGGAAACAAACATGCTCTAAATATATTCTCACCACGTTCTTCAATAATTGCATGAAAAGTTCATAATCTTTATTTATTATCATATTTATATCATCAGCTTTTTCATCGAATTTCCTTATTCCCAAATTAATATGAGTTGTCCATGATGACAGTTTTTGTTCAAAAAATTCTTTAAGATAGAAAAAAAAGAAACTAATCTATGTATTGCGTTTTTAAATAAGAACTTTTTAAATAAAATTAAAAGGAAATACTCGTCCCTCGTTTTGAAACACTCTAATAGTATTTGTTGGACAAAGACCATAATTAAGAATAATATTTACATGTTAACGAAAGGTTACAATTAAGAACACAAATGTGATAATAATTAAGTTTAAAGATCTATAATATAACTAAAATGTAGTTTATTTATAAAATAACGTAGGGTGATTGGTAAATACAGTGTCTGTTCGAGTTCATTTTTTCTTTAACAATACATTTTGAAATAGTAAATTAATGAAAAATGTGTGGTGAAAAAAATTGAATTTGAGTATAATATTATTTTATTGAAAAACGTGTAGTTGAAAAGAAAATATATATATATTTTGAAAATAATGGAATATTGTACAATCCAATTTATTAAAATGATTTTATATCCAAGCTTAATAGAGTTTATTAATCCAATTTATTAAAATGATTTTAAAATACGAGTTTAGTCTTTTAGCCCAACGTGAGGTTTTTTTTTTTGCGTAATTTCATTATTTTTTATTATTTCCCTTCCAAATATATCCTTATGCCGCCGCCGTCGTTTTAATTTTCCCCAAATTTTTCCAAAACCAAAACCCTTGCTTCGATCCGCTGGTTCACTTTCACTCACCGCTCTCACTGGCCACTGCTGCTGGCCCGCGCCTTCTCCGTTTCCTAAGCCGAGAAAAAAGAGCAGTTATTCTATGGCAGATGATATGGTTGAAGAAGTAGAAGAAAAGCAGGAAATTCTGGCCAAGATAGAGGCCGCTGTGCGTTCTCGCCTTCAATACTTCAAAGACCAATCCGAGTACGTATACTTTTACGGATTAGTATAAATCATTCGTGCACTACCTACCTGTGTAAATTCGTATATGTTTATGCATATATCGTTTGATTCATCTCGTATTGGGGTGAAAAAATGGCAGTTCATTGACATTGGGAAGTGTGAGGAGATTATTGGAGAAGGACTTAGGCCTTGAAAAGAACTCGTTGGACGTGCACAAGAGATTCATTAGCCAGTACTTGGAAAAGGTAACTCATTTAAGTTTTTTATTTTTGGAAGAATTTGGCCTTCTGACTAGTTTATAAGAAGCTAAGGACAATTCTATACAATGTGCATGGATTGAATTAAAATGATATCTTTTAGGTAGAAGAATATTTTTCTTATTATATTTCAGCTTCTGAATTGTAGAAACTCTAGAAGAGGTTTTGGATGATCTTCGGAAGAAACTGATTCTACTGAATTGCATCTAAAATTGCATCTTTACCAAAAAAAAAAAAAGATCTGCCAGCTAAAGATATCCCCAACTACTACAATTACACGAGCCCTACTGCTGCTGTTAATTGAAGAACAAAAATAATGTAATTTGACAAGCCCTATCATATATTCTGCAGGTATAGTCTTAGGCTCTTACCTAGATGTTGCAGAAGATAAAAAACGTAAGTGGCAATGAGTGCGACACTTACAGCGAAGTAATAAAGAAAGCGTCGTACTCCAGTGTACAAGCCGTTTTCGGTGCGTTTATTAATTTAGTTGAACTCTGCTATCATTGACGTTTGAATTATATATAGAGGGTGTTTGGTGGAGATTAAAATTAGATTTTTAGTAGATAGTGATAGAAGTTTTTAAAATATGTGGTTGAAAAGTTGTGGGACCCATGGAAGATGTGATTGATATTGATTGTTTGACTTTGACTTGGATTAAAATCAAATTTTAATCCGAACCAAACAGGGGCATAGTTTTGGTCTTGCCGCCACAGTAGAATTGCCTTTTATTGGCATTTCTCTATAAAATTATAAATGTACAAAAGGAAAGTACTTTTGTAACACTGGTTGTTTGTATTAGATTCATATTCTCGTACAATGCATTTTGATATTTTGCCTCACGAGAAGTGCTCGTGTCAGAAATGTGGGAATGGTTGAATTTGATGTAAAAAATATTGTCGTGTGTATATATATATATAAACCGACCACAGGGTTTGCCGGTTTTACACTGGCTTTAACTATGGCAATTTTGTTTTATGACAGGACCGGTTCCTGGTTTCCCGGGTTGAACCGGTAGGTCCCATCCGGGTGTTAACAACATTAATATTTAGCCCCTATTTGACAACTATTAAAATGAGTTTTTCGGGAAAATGAGTTTTGGAATAGTGATTTTTTTGGGAGAATGCGTGGTTAAAAAATAGGAAAATTCTTTTGGCTTACGCGTAAAATATTTTATTGTGAGAATGTGGGGTTGAAAATGAGTTTGAGAGAAAAAAAGTTTTATTTTAATGGCTGTCGAACAGGGGCTTACTTTTTAATAGATAGGATAGTAAACAAGGGAAAGGAAGAACAAAAGCCCCTATCCTTAAACATGTCTAGGGTTCCATCCAGTTCATTATTTCCCACCGCCAAAATTAATGTTCATGTCCACCGCATCTTTACCGTATCCAAACACCAAGACTTATTAACTTTTTATGGCTTTAATTGTAGAATAAACAGGATCTATTTTCATATGTATCAATTTTAATGTTCTGTTCAAATTGTTAGCAAATGGAAGATGCTGAAGATGACAACTCCAAAAGGACGGTGGAGAATATGGAGAAAGATGCCCATTTAAATGAGATAGAAGATGGAGAATCTCCTAAAGAGCACAAAACAAAGAAAGATCCAAAGGAAGCTAGCAATGGAGATGAGGAAACACTGGAAGACTCTCCTGTAATGGGCCTCTTAGGCATCAAATCTGAAGTGGACAATCAAGGCTCTGTAATTAGTGAAAGTAGGATTAAGAAGGCCATTTGGGATAGAGCCGATCACTTCATGGCCAATTCTGAGTATCTTCTTTTTCTGAGCTCATATCGTTATTAATTGCAATTTCTCTCTGCCAACCACACTTTCATTCCTTTTGCACTTTACTCTGGCATTCGCTAGATTCACTGTAGTAGTCCTATCAAAATGAGTCCCTTGAGTAAAATGAAAGGGAGAAGTTGTAGCCAACTCCTAGTAGCAAAACGATGCTAAAAAGGAGGGAAGCTTCGGCCAGATGCCGTTGTTTACGATTTTGGCAACAATTCGATAGGCTCTGGCTAAGCATATTAGTTTCAGCTTTTCCTTTTTGTCAATTTAAAAATCAATGCTCTCATTAGTGTATTTTTCAGGAACATAACTTTGGTTGGAGTTCGCAGACTTTTGGAGGAAGATCTTGGACTTGATAAAAATACTCTCGATCCTTTTAAGAAGTTGATAAGTGAGCAAATAGATCAGGTGGAAAAATTCTTCTGAATATATCTAAACTTGTGAATGAAAGCATTTAATACCATATTCATCAAATTTTGGTGCTGTCTAGGTACTAAATTCAGACAGAGTTTCTAAAAATGCGAATCAAGTTAAGAAGAAAAGCTCTGAGAAGTCTCAAAATAAAACATCACAAAAGATAAGCAGTGAAAAAGTTTCTGACTCTTCAGATGAGGAAAGTGACAAGGAAAAAGACAAAGTAAAATCAAGGAAGCAGGCTGCTCCAAGGGAAAAGGATAAGAAACGTAAAAGGTCCAACAAAGATAGCAATCCTGCTAACCCTGTCAAGAAACAAAGCACGTGTGCAAAGAGGCCAAAAGAGGAATATATTAATTCAGATAATGATGGAAGTGTATCTGAAGATGGTCAATCTCAATCATCCCTTGGAAAACCTACGAAGGTTAGTCTTTCATTTCTCTATGCCTAGATTTTATTTACAAATGTGTGCTGGGACATGCATGATCCTCAGAATCTTCGTGCTTAATTTTGATATGCAGAGAAAAGAACAATCAACTCCTGGATATGGAAAACGAGTCGACCATCTGAGATCTATAATTAAATCATGTGGAATGAGGTTGGTGTGTTTGGAAGTTTGTGTTTAAGTTGTCATTATCAACCTCTTATGACCGTTACTCATTTTCTCAATTGAAAACGAACAGCGTTGCTCCTACAGTTTACAAGAAAGTCAAGCAAGCACCGGACAACAAACGAGAAGCCTTTTTAGTGAAGGAGTTGGAAGGAATTCTCAAAAGAGAAGGACTATCTAGCAATCCTACTGAGAAAGGTAACTGTAATATTCTTTCTTACTCCCTCTTGTTCTTGATAACTCGCTCACCCAACTTGGTACTCCCCATGATTCTTGGATCTAACACCGATCTGTCACTAGTTTTTTTTGCAATGACTCGGTGTCCACTTCAAGGGCAATGATCACAGAGTCATTAATGGACTCTGTAGGCCAATGATAAAATCCATTCAAACATGTATTTAGTAGAGATCATAAAATAGCTGCGCTTGACTTATCAAATCTATACAATCTATCTCCAAGAACCATTACTCAAGCTGGAAGGAGGTGGCCGGCTGGGGTTTGGATTTTTTTCATTCTTTTTTCTTTTTTCCCCTTAAAATTTAAGCCCCGATTCCCATATAATGTTTGGATAAAAAATGGGTAATAAGTTGTGGGCCCATAGAATGAATGTGTGGATAAAAAGTGTCTTTGACGTGCTTATATTATAATTTAAGCTTTGCCAAACATGTGCTAAAATTGTTATCTGAATGTGAGGGCAAAATGGTCTTTTAAGCGGATTTAATATTTGTCTTAAATGAAAATCATAAGGGACATGGATGGTTGCTAGAAAATTACAAGTTAGAAACCCTGTTTGGCAAGGAAAGTGGAATTTCCACCCAAGTGCTGGTGTACCCAAATAAAGGGGAATGTGGCTACATATTCCCCAATTTTAGATCTTATTTGAGGAAAAAACTACTTTATTTTTCTTGTCTATATTCTTCTCTATCAGCTATGCACCATGTGGCTGTCCTTTCTCACATTTTCCTCATGCTGGTTCGTGTCAGTTACATCTGGCATCAGGCTGTCCTTTGCCTTGACCACCTTCTAGTCTCCTTTACTGCATTATTTTAGTTGCTAAAATTCTCACTATGCACTTATAGAGAAATTGGCTTTTGAACGAAAGCCAAAATTATGCTTGAAATGAAACTAATCTTGGGTAATTAAGAAATTATTTGAGGTATTGATAAACAGTGAAACTGTGTGGCACCCCACTATACAGTTTAAATTTTGCATATTCTGCATGCTCTCACAATAAAATGTTCTCCCTGCATGCGCACCACATAACTGTCTCTTCATGCCCCCCACCTCCTACCAAGATTTTCCACCACCATGCACACACCCCGGAAGAAAACCCATGATGGAAATGATGTCATTGAGTTAATCTCTCAGAAATTAAAGACTGTAGAAAGAGAAAAGAAAGAGCAAAAGAACTTGAAGGCATTGACATGAGCAACATCATTTCAAGTTCACGCAGAAGGTCAACAAGCAGTTTTATGGCTCCTAAATCTAAAGTAGAAACTAAAGGTAATAAGGATGATGTCAAAGCTAGAAAACACAAGGATAGCAAGGACAAAGATGGCAATGACAGTGACAAACACGAAGAAACTAAAGGGGACGATGATGTCAAAGCTATTGAGCTCAAGAATAACAAGGACAAAGATGGCAACGACAGTGATGAAATGGAAGAAACTAAAGGTGGTGGTGATGATGTCGAAGCTAGTAAACACAAGGATAAAAAGGACAAAGATGGCAGTGATGGTGATGAATGGGAAGACAAAGTAGAAGATGATGAAAAAGTAAAAGGAGGAGATGAAGAAGAAGAAGAAGATGATGAAGAAGAAGATGAAGAAGATGATGATGATAGCAGTGAAGAATTCAATGAAGGTAAGCATCGTTTGAGATTCTTCATACCAACTCCCTTACCCATCTTACAAGTCTTTTTGATGGTATATATGTGCGATTAAATATTGTCACGTGGATTGTGGTGCTGAGTAGTTGCCAGCATGCTTGTCAATTGAGTTTGTTACGTTGGTTCAACTACAGCCCTTTAAGTTGCAGCATAGAAGGGTAGGACAGAATGTGATGCTTAATACCAGGGTACAATATATTCTATCATAATTAGAAAGTTGAGAAATGTAACTAAATCAAAGAGTTAGAATAGCAAGAATTGAGCAAAAGTATCATTACATTATGACATTTCAAAATTGTTGCACCGCAAATGAGAAGAAAATAGAGTACAACCTTGCACAAAGAACATAAAAGGCCTTGTACGAGGGTAAGAGCACAATCTAATCTGAACTACTTTATTTGTGCCTATGATCAATCTAATCTGAACATACGTAGGAGTGTTTCCAGTGTCATAATATTTTTGCTTTTACTCGCAGACGATGAGGAAAGCGACTAAGTTCTGCATTGTGGTTTTGGAAGGTATACGTAACTAAGTTACTGGCGAGAATGGCGAGAATTGTAGAAGTGCAGATATATAGTATTGTATTAGTCATATGCGGCACTTGAATTGTATTGTTTTTTTGTTATCTAGTATTTTATGATAGACGGGGTTTATAAGTCCTATCTAAATGCGACTTTTGCACATCCAGCTGCTTCAAGAAAGTAGTCCGAGTTGGGAATGCCAGTATTTTAACTTTATGTGGAATGCTTTATCATTAATGATCTTTTTCCGCTGTGAAATTGTTAGCGGCGAATAAACACCTGTTGCTAATTCACGAGGAGCTCTTTGTGATCTATTGGATAAAGGAAATATGTAAGGACCGGTTGCAGACTTGCAGTTGACCTTATAAGACGAATGAGGAATAAACACGTGTTGTGACGTGTGCCCTTGTTTATTTATTTATATTTTTGAAAACAGAATCCACAGATGCGACTACTGGAAAAAAATAAAAATAAAAAAAATGGAGGTGCCACTGCCGAGCACCCAGGAGAGTGGCTACTAAAGCTTTTACACAGATTCTGTGCGGCTCTTTTTAACACGAAGGGCCTGTTTAGCTAATAGCAGGGCTTTTGCCTCTTGTTTCTGTTTTATTGGAAGAGTCGAACTATCGCCACGTGAAGCTCTTCATATCGATAAATATGATAATAAAATGAGTAAGCCGGTCCATTGCAGTTTATTCCATCCTAGTTACTGATCCTATCATTCGTAGGAAAATTTGCATTTGTAGTTCTCAATCTTTGTTATTCGAGTGGTAAGGTGGATTTTTAACCTTTAAATGAACTATTTCGCCCCCGTTTGGTGCACGTTTGGTGCACATTTTAAAGGTAAGAATGTATTTTTACTGTTGATGTGAATGATAATATGTGGTTGAAAAAAATGAAAAGTTATTGATGTGATGAAAAATATTATTTTATTGAAGAATGTATGGTTGAAAATGAGCAGAAGAATGAGAATGAAAAAAATAATGTAAACCACACATGGCTTTAGTATCTCAATCACTCAATCAATTTCTAATAATAAAAACTTCTGTATAATGTCTTGACTTCGATTATTTGAACATTTGCTTAAATTGAGGAATTAAGCATTTATTTGGTTCTCATTATTTTAAAATACATTTTTTTTTTCAATCACATCCTTTAACAAAATAATAATTTTTTTTACTTTTTTTTTAATGACACATTCTCCATCAAATCACTCTCTTAAAATACATTTTCGACAAGAAAATGGAGCTCAATTAGGCTCTAAATATAATTTAATAAAGTTGGATGTGCAACAAAATGTAAAGAGTTAGATAGTTCATGTTGTCGGAATAAATGAGTAAGCCGGTCCATTGCAGTTTATTCCATCCTAGTTACTGATCCTATCATTCGTAGGAAAATTTGCATTTGTAGTTCTCAATCTTTGTTATTCGAGTGGTAAGGTGGATTTTTAACCTTTAAAATGAACTATTTCGCCCCCGTTTGGTGCACGTTTGGTGCACATTTTAAAGGTAAGAATGTATTTTTATTGTTGATGTGAATGATAATATGTGGTTGAAAAAAAAATGAAAAGTTATTGATGTGATGAGAAATATTATTTTATTGAAGAATGTATGGTTGAAAATGAGCAGAAGAATGAGAATGAAAAAAATAATGTGAACCAAACATGGCCTTAGTATCTCAATCACTCAATCAATTTCTAATAATAAAAACTTCTCTATAATGTCTTGACTTCGATTATTTGAACATTTGCTTAAATTGAGGAATTAAGCCTTTATTTGGTTCTCATTATTTTAAAATACATTTTTTTTTTCAATCACATCCTTTAACAAAATAATATATTTTTTACTTATATTTTAATGACACATTCTCCATCAATTCACTCTCTTAAAATACATTTTCGACAAGAAAATGGAGCTCAATTAGGCTCTAAATATAATTTAATAAAGTTGGATGTGCAACAAAATGTAAAGAGTTAGATAGTTCATGTTGTCGGAAATTAATTATGTAAATATAATAAATATTGAAGATGAACGTGGATTTTACCTATAATAGATTGGTTAATTATATTGATATTTTCATTCTATAATAGTTTAAACTTTTAAATTGAATGATTCAATATGATATTAGAGTAGATAAAATTTTGAATTCCTATAATAATTTAACATTTTATATTATGCCTATGTTTGGTGAAATTTAAAATTTAGATTTTAATTTTAAGTCAAATTCAATAATTGATTTTAACCACATATCATATGGGGTTCACAATTTTTGAATCTCATATTTCATCAATTTTTATCAAAATATATTAAAAATTAATTTTAATCTACACCAAACAAAGCTAAACAGCGCAATAATATCAAATCATTCTGCGTTAATATGGAGTTCAATATCTCTAGCAATAAAATAATGCTCATTTGATAAAATAATTTGAAGGCAAGATTGAAATTTTGTGGGGTTAGAGAAAGGATGGGGTGGGGGTGGGGGTGGGGGTGGGGTGGGGTGGGGGTGCGCGTGTCCGTGGATGTTTATTGTTTGGTTGGTTTATATTCTTTCTATTTTCTCTCTCTGTACTTTTTCCATTCTCTGTGTGGAGAGGAGAGAAGAGAGCCATGACGCTTAGCTAGAAACAGCTTGTTTTTCCTCCGACTTTGATAGCCCGGAATTAATCCCATTACCCGAGTAGAATATAGCGCGACGAGGCTGTCATGGATGGATTCACGGACGGTGCGACACGTGGATGGTGAAAAATTCCATGTCACGAGTGTCTGTCACCGCCGTCGCTGCTTCTTCCTCTGCCACCTCTCCCTCCTCCTCCTCCTCCTCTTTGCCACCTTCCTTCCGCCACCAAGGTAATATTATCAGCTCAGTTTTATTGCAATTGATTCTCGCACAGAAACACTTTTCTCAAATTGGTTTCTCCATGATCCTGCTTCATTTTGCAATGGCGTAGATTAACAATGTTAAAGACTATATTTAAATCAATAAATTGTGCACATATCATTGATCTTGAATATAATATTTAATAACTACTCTCTAAAAGCTTACTCATGGATCACATGCAGATAACATTGTCGTCGCCTTTCAATTTCTGCTGCCTATAATTTAATTACTTCTATTCTTTTGGCAGTCTGCAGATTGCTGTTTTTTTTCAATTATATATGCTTATCAAGCTCAGGAACTAAAATATGAACAATTTCTTTAATTGATTTTTGCGGGATTCTTCTCTCTCTCTGCTCTGTCTTTTTCCAGCAATTAATCTTTTTTGGTCTCTTACATATTTTTCTGTGAAATTGTTTGTTTAAAAGATTCAATTTTTCTGTGATACATTTAAGCCATTATCTATATGGCAATTGATATTTTTTTCAGGTCATTGCATGAGTAGGCAAATTTCCAATCCCTAGTCAAGGGAAAAAATAAAAAAATGGAAACTATATTTGTGTATGATAGTTTTCTGTTCTTCTTCCTTTTTACTTAATGAGGTCATATTTGGAAATTGGAATATAGGTACCTGATTTTTATTAAGAGTTGTCTGTATACGGTCATGTTTCTTAGGGAGTATATTGGAATAACATTAAAGAAGAAAATAAGTTGAAATATTGTTCTTTATACAGTAATCTTTTATCTGGTATTGCGTACCAAAAATGCACCTGGTATAAAATGTGGCGTATAAGTCTAAAATGGGATTTACTCTTGCAATTACACTTGTCATTTAATTATGCTGGAATTATGAACTGATGACAGCTAATATCATTTTCAGATGCTCTGTGGCAAATGAACTTGAGATCAAGGGAAGCAATGGAGCCTGGACCTTATCCCGTGCGTGAAGGTGAACCGGACTGCTCATACTACATTCGAACAGGCCTATGTAGATTTGGATCTACTTGCCGATTTAATCATCCTTCTAATAGGAAACTTGTAAGGACTAAAAAATTCATCTGACGGACCGAAAGTTTCTAGTGCTAGTTTGAATGTAAACAAAGTTGTTAGCACGTGGCTTTTGTTATTACCTATGAGATTTTGCAGCTTGTTACCTTATGTTTCTGGAAACATTGTATGGGAATTTTGCGATAGGATTTGAAATGATTACCTATAAATTTTAATCCATTCTTCTCGAATACCTATTTGATGGGATTCGTTTTTAAGCACCAATGGCATAATTTGTTTTTGGTTGAACACAATTTATTTATGTAGAGAAATGAACAATATATGCTTTCAAAAATGTCGGCTATTTTGTTCTTTTCTATCCAATTCAGTAATGTAGTTGGAAGGCTTAGGTTTTTGATGTCAACCTCGTAAACAGAGGCTTAATAAGAAAAAGAAAACTCCACAGTACATTCCGAGACTCAAAACAGAGGCTTAAGTGATTTTACTTGCTCCCATGGCTTCATCTTTCTCATGACTTAAAGTGATATTAATTTAGAAGAATCAATATTTTTATAAAAAAATGCGTGAACTCATGAGTACTTGCACGCACTTTTAGCATTTAAGTATTCTGTATAGATCTGAACACTCTTGGATTTGATATTCCTCATCATAGGCTATCGCCACAGCATGGATGAACGGAGAGTACCCAGAAAGAATAGGACAACCAGAATGTCAGGTATGAATGCTCACACTTGCCTTATGTTCTCACTGTTATTTAAACTGTGATATCATTATGTCAGGCATAGAACCTATATTTTCTTTGAGATCATGTGATTTAATGACCTTCATGCATCACTAAACTAAATCTGATTAAAGATCTTAGATAGGACCCACAATTTCAGTGACCTTGTTCGTGCAATTGTGTGCCGAAAACATTCAATATGCATAATTCTCTTTGATAAAAATTTTATAGGATGACTGCGTGCGTGCTAAAGGCTCAGTATAGTTTCAGGAAAGCTGCCACTTCTGCTGCAGAAATTTCATGCAAATCATAACATTTATTATTATCTCCTTTCCTCAAGTGTTTCTACTAGTATATTTTTGTTTTAAGAAAAGGTGCTCATTCTTAAGATTATGTGTTCGAGCTTTGTTTGCTTCCATAAAAAAATTTCAATCTAGTGTGCCTTGTTCGTAATTAGTTGCTTGTTAATTCATTCAATATAATATTTTGTATCTTCTTCAGTATTACTTGAAAACTGGTACCTGCAAGTTTGGACCTACATGCAAGTTTCATCACCCTAGAGACAAATCTGGAATTGCTGGAAGAGTTGCCTTGAATGTTTTGGGTTATCCACTTCGCCTGGTTTGGACTTTCTTTGTCATTTTTGCTAAATTTATTTCTTCAAGCTGAATGGCACATTCTGATCAATGATTGCTCCTGTGCTCATCTTGCATATGCTTCCTTTCAATTCATAATACTGCAAAAAGCTTTAAAGCATGAAATCAGATAACATTGTATCCAAGTGCTAGCATATCAGAATGGGTGATTCCCTTGAAATTCTGAGATGTCGAATGGTATTAATTCTGGCACTAGGTTATTGAAGGAACACTAGGAGGCAATTTGATAGAGGTAAACAAATGTAGTTAGTCGATCTTATGATCTGGAATAAGAAGCGGGCATGAATACATGCTACACAGGTACATGACAATACTATGAAGATGCACCTGGTTCTTTCTTTAAAGAATAGCAATTTTTAAAGCATTCCCTCCATTTTTAGTTATTAGGCCTTTTTGCTATCATTTGCCAATGATTAGAAATTAGTGTTTAGATATTACCTTAGATAGTGCTTTCTTTACTGCTGTAAATCATGTAGGAATTTAAATCCCTCGATCAACTATCATACTTAACATTGTTTGATTTAAGTTTCATATTTTTGTATCTTTTTAATGGAATATCTCCCCTTTGTACAGAATGAGGTCGAATGTGCCTATTATTTGAGAACTGGACAATGCAAGTTTGGGAACACTTGTAAATTCCACCACCCCCAGCCATCCAACGTAATGGTCTCTCTACGTGGTTCTGTCTATCCTCCTATCCCTTCTTCAACAACTCCTGGTCAGCTATCATTTCCCTTGTCAAGAGCTTCTTATGTTCCGAGTCCAAGGTGGCAAAGCCCTTCAAGTTATGCACCGGTGATTATGCCTCAGGGAGTGATATCAGTTCCCGGATGGAACCCATACACTGTAACCTTTCTGATTATTCTTTATTTTTGTATTGCTTCTTTTTTTTTTTCCTTGAATTTGAAGGTACAGTATTTGGGACAGTCAAGTAAATGAGAAAATGGCTACAAATTTAATCACATATGTTAATCAGGAAGAGTGAATATTGAGAAACAAAAAATCACTATGAAGAAAATGCTTTATTTTATCAGGAATTTATACTAACTTTTACTTATAAAATGCGAATCAAAGCTAGTTAAGTTAAGGACTGAACCAGGGTATCACGATCTATATACTCATGTGAAGTTGGAACTTTTAGAGTTTTTGAGTTTATTAATGAATCTCGTGTATGGCTTAGTTTTTAAACCTAGAAATTTTATTCAGGTACCGAATGGACATCTTCAGCACCTTCTAAAGTTATTTTTGCGTTAGGAAGCATGCAGCACTGATGCTTCCCATGGAGAAATTGTACTCTTTACTTTGGCTGCAAAATTAAGTATATAAACAAAAAATAAAGAAATATGTGATTGTATCCAAAAATTGAATTATCCGGGTTCAGAGAGAGTTCAAGTTCCCTCCAAATTGCCTGTAGTTTGAATTGAGATATTAGAAAAGACACACATTTATTTGTCATTTGCAATGTAGTATTCTGGTGTCTTTCATTCAAACTGTGATAATGATGGTGCAAGATATTTGTGTCACTTCACGTTTTTTCTTGGCTGCTACATATCCTATATGATCAGTTACTATATTTCCTCGGGTATAGTTGCTTATTGTTCTTTAATGCATCAAGTGTCCATACATGTAGGGAGCATTCTTGCATTTTGAATTTAAACCAAGTCATTAGAAGTTATGTAATTATTGAATTCTGAAATCGCTGAGGTGATGCTATCTTTTCCAGGCTCAGCTGGTTTCTGTTTCATCTTCAGAAAGCCAACATCCAACAGCAGGAAACGGCTCACATCAGGGTGAAGCTGCAAGCACAGGATCTCAGTTTCGTTCTGGTTCTACACCTATGGGGTATTATGCATTGCAGAGAGATAATGAGTTTCCTGAGAGACCTGGCCAGCCAGAATGCCAATTCTATATGAAAACTGGGGACTGCAAATATGGTGCAGTCTGTAAATTTCATCACCCCAGAGAGAGAATTATCCCCGTTCCAGATTGTGTCTTAAGTCCAATCGGGCTTCCTTTGAGGCCAGTAAGTAATTTTTGGTTACTTATTTTCTTAATTTTCTCCACACAACTTACCATAAGCCGTCATCTTAACTCTTTCTTGTTAGCTTTCGACTATTTCTCTTGAAAAGCTTGTTGCACACTTTTCCATTTGAGATCTATGTAATTTGTGGTTCCATATGGTTTTTATGTGCACTGGTATTGGGCATTGAAAGCAATCTCTCTTATCTGTAAACAACCTTACCAGCATATTTGGCGGTTTTAGGCAGTTCATTTAGTGAGATGCTAGAAATATCCTTGGTGCACTCGTGCTTGTGAGTTTAGTATGCCATCCTCCTTTTTAATTCTCAGAGTGCTTTGTAATCACCTTTTCACTATCTTGCTTCAATTTATTTGAGTGCACCATTGTTCTTTTCTTTGCATGTCTAATCTATTGCAAAATTCCGGCTAAGGGCGAGGCAAATTTAAAAAACGTGGACGTACTAAGGTAATTCTCAGATACTCATGAATAGCAAGATAATGATAAAAATGAAAAGGCAATTTAATTAAAAAATAATGACAATTATTTAGAAACAAATGTAAATTATAAAAACCAGTATTAGACCGTATCATATCTTAAAAGCACAATTTCGTTCCACACTTATAAAACTTGTGTTTAAATACTTCACCAAGTTAATTTACCACAACTATCTGTTTCTTTATTATCTTAATACGTAATGGCCTTTCTTCTGCAAAAAGATTCTTTTGCCGCGATGAGTTGAAACAGAAGATGTCCCATTACATACTCCGAGCATTTGATTACAGAAGTTTTTTTTACACCAAAGAGAAATTTGTGCTATATTATGTTAAGATCCCTTATCAACCATGAAAAATTATTTTTTTATTTTGTATAAAGTTCAACGTATAGTTTCTATACTAACTTTTAAATGTTTTGATCTTCTTTTCAATACTTCTTTTGAGAGAAAGTTTAATTTTGCGTGATAGATTTATTTTCAGAATTCCTCAAGATTTTCTGCCATAATTTTTTTGTCTGAAAAATTTCAGAAGCTTTACTTTAGTTTCAAGTTTTCATTTGATAAATCCTGGAGTTCATAATACTCTTTGGACAGTAATCGCAGGATAACGAAACCACCTAGTTAGGAAATTTTTGTTTCTTTGATATAGCTGAAGTCTTGAAATGGTTTACTCCAGAAGTTCTCCATATTACATGTATAGGTAAGTATAAATGGTTATAATACACTTAGGCTCAAACTTCTGGTTTCTCGTTCTTTGATTACATCTTCCATTTTAAGTCAAGGATGGGGATCTTGATTTTTTCCTGAGGGGGGAGGGGGGCTGGATGCGGCCTGACAAGAGCTAAAGGAAATAGCCTCTGATGGACTCTGAGTAGTTTCGTCAGATAGCTGTATCTGGTCAATTTTGTGAAGTTTCATGAACAATATGTAATGAAAAATAAAAATTTGATCATGCTTTTTTTGGATACATAACTATTATCACGGGCTTTTGCCATTTTGAATATTTAATTTAGTCTCAACAGGCATTGGTAATGGTGCGATTCAACATTTTGTAGATGTGCCACATTTTTGGTACATATTTTGACATTATTCAAAGAGAGAAACTGGAATAAGGATGAAAGACAAGAGGAAGAGGTTGAAGAGGAAAGAATAAGAGGGCAGGAGAAAGAGAGACATTTTACTATATTTAACATTTTTTGTACTAAGTTTTTTGAAGGAATCAACTGAGGATTTCTTGTATCACACTTTTTATTTTATTTTTTGTTTCCTTTTTGTTGGTTTTAGGCAGAGCCTCTGTGTCTTTTCTACTCTCGATATGGAATCTGCAAGTTTGGTCCAAGTTGCAAGTTTGACCACCCAATGAGGGTTTACACACACAATTTTGCTGCATCATCATCAGGCGACACTCCAGAAGTTCGCCGTTTTTGGGCTTCATCATCAGGAACTGGTGTATTAAGTTTGCCCGGGAAAGGGCTTGTGGAAGCAGGCTCTACAAATAACAGGCGAATATCTTTCTCTGAAGGAAGACAGATTCCCTCTGGTGATGATTAACATTGACTCGGAATGATAAACTGATTCTCCAAACCCATGTCTCAATCATTGGATTTGAAGTGAGTTTTAGCACTTCACTGCATTATATAAATCTGCAAACATGGTCACATTTGGTGAAGCCAATAGTGAAGTTTTCATCTTTTCAGACAGCCATCTTTCTGATTTTTGTGACCCCATCTCCCAATGTTTGGAGCAACTTTCATCAGGCTCAGTGTTGTTCTTCTCATGTGTACACAAGTATTTCTCATTGAAACACCAGTTTCTAATATTTATGGTTGATTTCTCATCAGTCTTGCATATAACGTTATTATCATCATTGTCACCATCTATATTGTTGAGGGTTTATATATTGTAAGCATCATTCATACAATCAGAGTTGTTGTCACTTATGTTTCCTTAGCTTGTTTTTGCTATTATCATTCGGAAAGAACTAATTTTGGTCTTACATTATCTTTTAACTTCTATTATTGGTCACCTTTTTTCGCAGATTGGCCTACTATTCTCATAGTTCTCTAGGTCAATTTCTGGATATGAAAAAGAAGTCTAAAGTAGTAACATAATGGATCTCCTCTTAATGCTATCCAATGTAACGTGAAACATTGATAATTCCAGTTCAGCGAATGGGATATGGAACCTGCTTTTCCAATTTAGAAGTAGAACGTTGGTTGCCACTTGGCCAAATGCTAGATCGATACTAGGTTGTTCTAATGTAATTAAATGCAGTATTTTTCTAGAAGAATGCATCTCAATAACTTACTGTTTAAATCAAATGTACTGGAAATATGACATACTGCTATTACCTGATATTTAAGTGCTATATTTACTTGAGCTTTTATTTAAGAAAATCTAGTAAAATTTAACAAGAGGAATAAAATGTCATTATCATAAGAAGCTAATGCCCTGTTATCTTTACCGTTTTCAAGCTTTTTCTGTTTTCGATTTTCCAAAATAGTGAAAACGCATTCTCTTTCCTATTTTCGAAAACGCGTTTTTGAAAACAAATTAAAAATTTATAAAGAAAAGAGAAAAACGTCAAATTTGATGTTTTGGGTGTTTTCAGTTATAATTAAGCCAAAAAATTTCAAAACGCGTTTTGTGTGTTTTCAGTTTAACGTAACCCCAGCCACCACCAATGCCACCTGCACCACACCACCGTCACCTCCGCCGCAACCGCCATCATCACCGCCTACACCACACCACCATAAAAATCACCATCGCCGCCACATCACCACCCAACCACCACCGTCGCCGCCTATACCACACCACCACACAACCGCCAAATCCTCCACCACAGCCACCACCACCACAAAAACCGCCAAAATCGCCACAGAACCATTGCCACAACCACCACCACACCGAAAAACCACCGCCACAGCCACCTGACCACACCACCGTCGCACACCAAGCACCTAAAACCACCACACACCACCGCTACAGCCACAACCAACCACCGCCACAGTAAAAAAAAAAAAAAGAGAGAGAGACGAAGCCGCCGACAATCGCAGCCACAACCAACCACCATCACACACCACGCACCAATCGCAGCCACTATCACTACTCGTCGACAGAGAGGCGTGGAAGAAGAGAGAGATGACAGAGAGACGGGAAGGAGGGAGAGAGAGAGAGAGAGAGACAAGAGAGAGGGAAAGAAAGAGAAAGGGTTTTCCAATTTTTGATTTTTGAAACTTTTTTTTCAAAATGTCAAAAAGAATACATTTTCAACAATCTCTAAATGGACACTCCAAAAAAAAACCCAAAATGAATTCAAAACTCAAAACACAAAACCAAAATACAAAAAGAGAGCCCCTAATTGTCTAGATTTTGGTCAAGTATCAAATATGCTAATGTCAGAAAGATGAAGTCATCCATGATCATTGGATCAGATTGCTAAATCTAGCATTGCAGAATGGAAGTGTACAACAAGTTACAATGGGCATGAAGACAAGTTTTGCATTAGAGAATGGATGTGTACAATGGATCTTTCTGGTAAATATTTTTATGTTCAACTAGTTCTGTTTATTTTCAGAAACTCTGGAATTTGATTACGTTTATGTGATATTGGGATCATCTTTTAGTTGAATTTACCGCTTGCTTGCTTGCTTGTTTCTACAGTGATAGTATAAACACCAGTTTGGTATGATGACAATTTAAACATTTCTAGCTGGTCTTATCAAAAGTCACCGAATTACGATGTTTCACCCATTCCTGACAATGGCTTCTTCAAGTGATCACAGGTATTCTGCAAAACTGACATGCAGGACCCTTTTCCCCCTGTTATTATGGGATCAGTTGATATATATAACTAAATTTGTATTTGCATTGTATGAAAATGGAATTTCAACCTTTTATGCATGAATGATGAACTAAGAAGAAGATGCATTTTTTGTTGGGAGAGTTGGGACATTTATACTATGTCTTATTAATGAATATCAACCTTGGAATAGGCAAATAACAACAGATTTCAAAACTTTCGAATGGATTGTTCTTGTTCTCTCATCTACCCAAAAACTTATTTCCCTCATCCGTCCCATCCCTGTTCCCCTACTGTGGCTTCTGTTGAAAGAGAGAAGTCTTGAACTTAGACATGATTAATTGGTAGAAACCTTTAAAATGAAACTCAGTTAGTAGCTTTTTTTTTTTCAAATTCGTAGGTAGCAGAGAAAGAGACCGGTGATGGATGATACAAGAGATTAAAACCAAGAAGGCACGTGTTACTCGATCAATAGTTGTATTGCTTAATAATAAGATTTGCACGTCTGAAAGGACATTTTACAGTTCAGAAAAATGTGCTGTTAAAAGTTCCTACTCATTTTAAGGGACGAACAACTACCTCATAAGATGCCAAAGACCAACAGCATGGATGCAAATGATATGAACAATTACTTCTGGAAATCTATCCAGGACTAGGATACTTTCTATACTCACTATAGAAGTGACTTTTTAAGTTGTTTCCTCATTTGAGAATTGAGCATATCTGCAAACTCTTCTAAAAGGATGCTTTAGAGTAAAAGAACAAATGAGCCTTTAAGCGTTTCCTCATTTTGAGGACTGAACAAATACGTAATGACATACTAAAGACAAAAGAATGGAAGCAAATAATATGATCAACTACTTCTGGAAATCTGGCCAAGTATCCTTACTACAGATGAAATGAGCAAATGGAAATTACAGACATCTTTCTCATAATGGAAAGAGAGAAAATACTTGTGAATCATATTTACTGTATGAGATGAAGAACGTCTATTTTGTTTCTTTACGTGCTGTGTGGCAATTGAATCCTTCTGTTTCACTCATTTCATGAAAATACAGTGCCACATGGTTGTTTTTATTATTTTCTCCGACTCTTGATGCTAACTCATGCTTGGACATCATTTCTTTCTGAGTTCAGAGTTCCACATGTTTCAATAATTTGACACCTTTGAATAGCTTGAATGTAAAAATGTAATTAGTTAACATTAGAAAGCATCTTTAATTTGTTTTGAAATTGATGGTCAGACAGAAACTCCTAGTCAGACCATCAATGGAGAGTATCTAAGATGGCGTAATAGCCAATCAAGAGAGGAAGCGATATTATAGTGCCAAAAATTACCGTGAACATGGCTCTGGATAAAGGAAAGGATAATTCATCTTATGAAGATTGACATGAGCTGTGAACTCAAAGGTGAAAAGTGGACACCACCTTAAGGAGCCGTAGCCTAATGTCAAGGCCACGTACATTTTTCATACCGCCTAAAAACCTTCAGGTGTGGCAGTTGAACCATTCTGTTTTACTCATGTCATGCAATTTCGTACCAGTTGTCAAAAAATATATCCAGAGTATATATAATCAGGGCAAATGCATACAAGATCTTTTCATATTGTGAAGTGTACATTCAAGCTTTTCTACAACAATGACATAAAATGATAGCGTGGTAAAATTTTTACAAGATAGTGGTGGCAATCGTGCCAGTATACGTGGCCTTGGCATTAGACTATGGCTCCTTAAGGTGGTGGCATATATAGGATTAAACCAGACCATTGTGATGCTGGAAACCGCTTCAATTGCTATTTTATAATGCCAATTTTCACATTAGAGTTCCCTGCTCATGTCAATCCTTATAAGATGTATTATCATCTCTTCCTTGCTGCACATGTTACATCTAGAGCCGTTGTAGGCTAGCCAACAATTTTATTCCACAGTCTTCACCAAAGACAAGAAAGAAGATGTCTTGCTCTCATTAATAGAATGTGTTCTCTTCCACGTCTTTACCATTTCAATTGATGAAAAATTTACTCTCCTGTCATCTAAAGCCCGGTCAGCCGAGATTCCTAATTTATCCCTTCTTGAACGACTAAATTCCAAGACGAGAACATAATAGGGAACAATAAGGGTCCGTTTGATTGTAAGAGTGGAATTTGGGTGGAAAGAAAATAAATTCTAGGGAATTGAATTGCCTAGAATTGTTTTCCCGAGGATTGTCAATTAATTGTGTTTGATTAGTGTAATTTTCCACGTGGAAAACATTGAAATTTTGAATCTTTTATTGTTCGTTTGACTTTGTTTTCAATAGGAAATTGGAGGTCATGTATGGTGAAATTGGAGCTGACATTGTTACACGGTCACTTTTGTGGTTCAATTCAATGTTATTCATGCTGTAAATTAGTTTTCGGCTGCCCAAACCGTAGATGATCAGATAGTTAATGAGCTTAAGTAAAATTAAAACTTAGGGTGCCAGCTGCTGGCTTGAGCCAAAACCTCTAATATCCTAATTGCTTACCTTTAATGCTGGATTTTTTTAAAGTTAGAAGTTAGATAATGGCTTAAGCCTGGTTAAATTAGGCATGACAAATACGTTTCTTTGATTTAAACTTAAAAAGTGAGATAATATTTAATAACTTAGACAAATCGACTCCTAATCCAACCAAACTTGGACCAAATCCTAACTTCCCATATTGATTTTTCAATTCTAATAATGCGTGATAGTCGCTCTACGTAACATACAGATGACAGTTTATTATTTGATGTATGAGTCAATAAAAAAATCAAATAATAAACTGTTATATGTACGTTATATATGACGACTATTCGATAGTCTTCACTATGAATAACATTAATTCTCCTGTATGGTTTGAGATTGAGACGGTTAGTTTGTAGTCCACTAGTGTCAAAAGTAATGACTATACATATTTAATTGTTTCCTTTTGCCTTACCTATTGGAAACTCATTCCCTGTCATTGATTACTTTAGTTACTTAATTGAGTCCCGAGTACCACGTAATCACTTGCTTAAAATTTTAATTTGAAGTCCACATTTTTATCTCAATTTCCATTTATAACTTTAGACAGCTGTTTGTTGGCTTTGAATACAATATTATTTTTGTAATTTTCACTTTTGTTTTCAATCGTAAAACATCGGGTTAATCACCCAAATGGTCATTGAACTTTGCAAAAAGTTTTCACATGGTCACTGAACTTTAAAAATCACACAAGTCATCATTGAACTTTGTAAATAGTTTACACGGGGTCACTGAACTTTAAAAATCATTCCATTCATCACTAAACTTTGTAAAAAAATTTCATATGGTCACTGAACTTTGCAAAATGTTTTCCAGTGGATCACTAAATTAGTGATCCCCTGAGAAATTTTTTGCAAAGTTTAGTGATGAATGAGATGATTTTTAAAGTGCAGTGACCCGTGGAAATATTTTGCAAAGTTCAATGATCTCGTGTAAACCTTTTATAAAGTTCAATGATGACTTGAGTGATTTTTAAAGTTCAGTGATCCCGTGAAAACCTTTTTCAAAGTTCAGCGACCATTTGGGTTATTAACCCTAAAACATCATTCATTTTTCTGTATATAGTTTGTCGATTAGTTACTTAGTATTCATTAAGAACCAAAAAAATTTTATTTCTTGAACTTACGAGTATTCGCAGAGTCAACAAGTTTTAAACTCGTTCGTGCTCTCACTACGTCATAACGTCTTTGTCAAAATAATTTATACAAGTACGTTTACATGAAATTTGCGCTAGACGTCGGAAAATCATGAGCAAATTATACAGTTTGCAAAATCAAAAATTGTCTACACAGTCTCGAGCAAACTTTGTGCCAAGCGAAAAGTGGAAAATAGAACTACCAATGCATCTCTCATAATTTATTTTCTTCAATTAAAATAAAATGTAATAATTAACATTAGAAATCATCTTTTAACTTGTATTGGTATTTTTACAAGATAGTGGTGGCAATGGTGCCATACGCGTGGCCTTGGCATTAGACTATGGCTCCTTAAGGTGGTGGCATATATAGGTTTATACCAGACCATTGTGATGCTAGAAACCGCTTCAATTGCTATTTTATAATGCTAATTTTCACATTAGAGTTCCCTGCTCATGTCAATCCTTATAAGATGTATTATCTCTTCCTTGCTGCACATGTTACATCTAGAGCCGTTGCGTAGTTTTAGCCAACAAGTTTATTCCACAGTCTTCATCAAAGACAAGAAAGATGATATCTTGCTCTCAGTAATAGAATGTGTTCTCTTCCACGTCTTTACCATTTCAATTGATGAAAAATTTACTCTCCTGTCATCTAAAGCCCGGTCAGCCGAGATTCCTAATCTATCCCTTCTTGAACGACTAAATTCTGAGACGAAAACATAATAGGGAACAATTAGGATCCGTTTGATTGCAAGAGTTGAATTTGGGTGGAAAGAAAATAAATTCTAGGGAATTGAATTGCCTAGAACTATTTTCTTGGGGATTGTCAATTAATTGTTTTTGATTAGCGTAATTTTTTACATGGAAAATATTGAAATTTTGGATCTTTTGGTATTCGTTTGACTTTGTTTTACATTGAAATTATCCATTAAAGAGATATACTTTGTCAATTAAGAATAAAATTTGTTTCCATTGTAAAAAAAAAAAAAAAA